ATCTCTTTCCCGTAGTCAAGGTGGATTTGTGATGCCCACCTGAAATGTGCTCATAGCCAAATCATTTACTCGCTCCTCCTAGATCGCTGCCCTTGACGTTTCCCATTGCTGTACGTATTTCTCTCTGTATCTGTTTCCCTCTTAGAATGTCCACCTCCTGGGACTTGCTTAGATGATTGGATATGAATATTATTAGACAATAATTCTGCTTTTCATCCAGTATGCTAGTTCTTATTCAAGAACTGTGGTCAGAGGGTATTTGGACATGAGTATCCTTCGCTTATCTCTCTAGTACTGAAAATTTACAGAAGTAACTGGCTGTGTAGAATGTAATAGAAGCTTTTCATATTCGTTTATTCTTAAAAATCAGTATCTTTTTACAGTATTCTTTCTACATGATCCTTTTTTGTACATTTAAGAATATTTTGATTACATTAAATAAGACTGCTGATTTTGCTACTTTTTTTAAGGGGTCTTCAAGTAAGTAAAAAACATACATTATAGGTAGAAGAAAAATGTACCTTGAATTTCCATCTTCCCTCTCACACCGAAGCTGTAAACAATTGACATATTTTGTCTTAAAACACTTGGTTCAATATATGCTTATTTGTTTTAAAACCTGTATCAAACTCTCTCTTTAGATTTAAAGTGCTGTTGAATATGACACTTTTGAGGAGAGAGTGGGCTCAGAATTTAGGCAGGATACGGTAGGCCAAGTATGCTAAGTGTATAATAAATTTTCTAATTTTACACCTAAGACAAGGAGATGTGGTCACTAAAAAATAAACATATATGTAGGACTTAATGTACTCTTGCTTTGTCAGGCTGTTTGCTATAGTTTTCAAGATCACAATGTTACTCTAACTCTGAAAAGTGATGTAATCTGGTAGCAATGTATTCGTTCAAATAAAGGCATTTACATAATAATTAGTCTCTTGCTTCTGTCCCTTAGTAGTATGCCAGTAATGTTTGCCAGATTTTTTTCCTCCAATATTCTAACTCTTTTTCTGGTATACTTTATAAAATGATGTTTGTTAAATTTAAGCTTTTGGAGCTGAATTACAGGGGCTGACTGAGTTAAGGATACGATCAGTGGGGCAAGATGGTTTTCTCCAACTTACCAAAATTTCCTTATCCAAGTTCTCCCTTTTTCTTTCTTTTCCATCTCATTCACTCTTTTCAATGTTTGATTTTATACAGAAGATCGAAACAGTGGGTATCAGAACAACCAGGGAAGAGAGATGGTTTATGTTAGGTTTTCTCAACCTCATCACCATATGGACATTTTGAGCTGGATAATTCTTTGTTGGAGGTGGGAGGGAGCTGTCCTGTGCATTGCAGGGGTTTATCTCTGTCCCTGGCCTCTAACCACAGATGTCAGTAGCACACCCCCAGTGTGTAGATAAAATATGTCTCCAGACCTGGCCAAGTGTTCCATGGTGGGAGTAAAATCATCCCTAGTGGACAACCTGTTGTTCATGGTACCATTTCAAGGTTTTGTGTGAATGAGTAATATGAAATGTAGTCCTTTGAGGAAGTGCATGGTGATACTATAAAATATTTTGTATTTATAGTCTTAAGAATGAGAAAGACCTCTCTTAGTATGATACAAACCCCAGAGACATAAAATGAAAGAATGATAAATGTGACAATTCTGCTTTTGCAATAAATAAATAAATATAGTAAAGTCAAAATATAGATGACCAAGGAAAAAAGTTTAGTCCCATGTGTTAGTCCATTCATAGACTGGGTGACATAAATAACAGAAATTTATTTCTCACAGTTAGGCAGTCTGGAAGTCCAGGATTAAGGCACTGGCAGATTCACTGTCTGCTGAAGGCCCACTTCCTACTTCGTAGATGGCTGTCTTTTAGCTGTAGCCTCACATGGTGGCAGGGGCAAGGAAGCTCTCTGGAGGCTCTTTAATAAGGGCACTAATCCCATTCATGACTCCACCCTTACAATTTAAGGCCCCACCTCCTAATACCATCACACTGGGAGATTAGGTTTCAATATATGAATTTTGGAGGAGACCCAAACATTTGGTCTATGGTGCCCATATCATGGATTTTCTTAATATAAGGACACCTTTTATGAATAAATAAAAGACAAGTCTTCTGCAAACATATGCCAGGGTAGCTGATGAGATAGGATGACTGTATCTTACGACCTATCTTCTACCTTATATTTCCTATGGTTATCTACATTGTTTCCCTCCAAGTACAAAAGTTCTTCTCTGTAAGTAACTATGTCCCAAATGCCTTGAAATGCCTTTGAAGCAAGAGAAAAGGCTTACTCCATCTTGCCCTTTATTCAGAAAAAGAGCTGGTTTCTTGGGTGGTTCGCTGTACAGGGCCCACAGTCTGTAGGAATGCACCTTTGGTCTGTTAAGTGTTCACATAAAGCAATTGGCCTGAACACACCATTTCTTCTTTCCTCCAAATAAAGGGCTAAAATCACTAATCTATTCAGAGGACTAACAAATCTATGAAAGAGAAAGTTCCTTTAGAAAAATGGGCAAAGGAGGTAAATATCCCACTTAAAACCTATAATTAACCAATGAACATAAAAAGCAAATGCTGATTCTCAAAAAGTAATGAAACCAACAAAGAATTGCCTTTTTTAGTAGACTTTCTTTTTTTTCTTTTTTTCTTTTCTTTTTTTTTTTTTTTTTTTTTTTTTTTTTTTTTTTTTTTTTTTGCCACACCGCACAGCTTGTGGGATCTTAGTTCCCTGACCAGGGATTGAACCCATGCCCTCAGCAGTGAGAGCGTGGAGTCCTAACTACTGGACAGCCAGGGAATTCCTGTAGACTTTATTTGTAGAGCAATTTTAGGTTCATAGCGTGAGTTTATTTCTGGGCTTTCTGTCTTGTTCTGTTAATCTATATTTCTGCTTTTGTACCAGTGCCATGCTGTTTTGATTACTGTAGCTTTGTAGTATAGTCCGAAGTCAGGGAGTGTGAATCCTCCAGCTCTGTTCTTCTTTCTCAAGATTGTTTTGGCTACTCAAGGTCTTTTTTGTTTCCATACAAAATTTTTAAAATTTTATGTTCCAGTTCTGTGAAAAATGCTGTTGGTAATCTCATAGGGATTGCATTGAATCTATAGACTGCCTTGGGTAGTATAGTCATTTTAACAATATTGATTCTTCCAGTCCAAGAACACAGTATACCTTTCCATCTGTTTGTGTGGTCTTCGGTTTCTTTCATCAGCATCTTATATTGTTCAGACTACAGGTCTTTTGCCACCTTAGGTAGGTTTATTCCTAGGTATTTTATTCTTTTTGATATGATGGCAAATGGGATTGTTTCCTTAATTTCTCTTTCTGATCTTTCATCGTTAGTGTATGGGAATGCAAGAGATTTCTGTGTATTAATTTTGTATCCTGCAACTTTACCAAATTAATTGATGAGCTCTAGTAGTTTTCTGGTAGCATCTTTAGGATTTTCTTTTGTATAGTATCATGTCATCTGCAAACAGTGACAGTTTTACTTCTTCTTTTTCAATTTGGATTCCCTTTATTTCTTTTTCTTCTCTGATTGCCATGGCTAGGACTTCCAAAGCTATGTTGAATAAAAGTGGTGACAATGGAATCCTTGCCTTGTTCCTTAGAGGGAATGCTTTCAGCTTTTGACCACTGAGAATGATGATACCTGTGGGTTTGTTATATGCGAAAGTATCTTTAAAGATGTTCTTTTTAATCCAGGATACAATAAAAATTTACACATTGCATTTGATTGTCAAGTCCCTTTTCTGCCTTTAAAATGTAAGACACAGGAACAATCTTGCTCTTTTCGTCTTTTGTGCCATTGACATTTGTTAAGAGTTTAGACCAGTTTTGTAGTAGGATGACCCACATCTGAATTTGATTGTGAAAAGAAGGGAAAAAAAATTTGCCATTTAGACAAAATAATATTTATAAAACCTGATATTAATGAGCTTATGATGAGTTTGTAGCATTTGTTTTAGGTGGGTACAGTTGAATAAGTGACATGGCTTTTTGGGGGGAGGGGTCACTTAAAATTTTTATTTTGAAATGATTATAAGTTAAGAGGAAGTGTCAAAAAGTGAACAAGTGGTCCCATGCACCCTTCATCCAGTTTCACCCTGTAATAATGTCCTATGTAGCAATAAAGCCATACCTTGGAGAGATTGTGGGTTCCGTTCCAGACCACCGCAATAAAGTGAACTTTTTGGTTTCCCAGTATGTATAAAAGTTATGTTTACACTATACTGTAGTCAGTTAAGTTTGCAGCAGCATTATGTCTAAAAAAAACTACATACCTTAATTAAAAAATACTTTACTGCCAAAAAATGCTAACCATCATCTGAGCCTTCAGCAAGTCACTGTAGTGACATCATTGATCAGATATCATAACAAATATAATAATAATGAAAAAGTTTGAAATATTATGAGAACTACCAAAATGTGACACAGAGACCTGAAGTGAGTAAATGCTGTTGGACAAATGGTGCTGATAGACTTGCTTGATGCAGGGTTGCCACAAACCCTCAATTTGTAAAAAATGCACTATCTGCAAATTGCAACAAAATGAGGTGTATATGTTTATAGTACAATATCAAACACCAGGTGGGTTAAATGGGTAA